AAAAAAAAAAAAAAAAAAAAAAAAAAAAAAAAAAAACAAACCAAAAAAAACAAAAAAAGAAAAGAGAGACAAAAGGCGATTCGGCAGTTGGAGGCTGACTTTTGGAGTCAATCAGATATTTGAAGATTTGGCTATGATGATCCCTGACCAGGGTGATCTGATTGACAGCGCTGAAGCCAGTGTGGAGGGCTCAGAAGCGCAGGTCGAAAGAGGCACTGGTCAGTTACAGCGAGCTGCTATCAGAGAAAATCTCGCAAGAGGATGTGTACCCTGATGCTTGTCCTGTCAGTGACCACTGCACTCTTGGGGCTTGTTCTCTGGCTAGTTTCTAAGTGAAGTGTGATTGCCTCGGAGCCTTCTGCTGCTGAGGTGTTTGCAAGGGCAAGTGTCACTGGAGTCCTCCTGCTGGAACAAACTGATCAGGAGAAGAGCGTGCATCAGAACATCCTGTAATATTTAGTTAGGGGCTAGCTACTAACTCGTCCTTGGAATTGGGACCTATGAAGACAGTATTGATCAGTTTGTGCATACTTTTATTGATTTCTCAAATTAGGAATTAATTTATGTGGACTTTGCTTTCTCTTGTATTTGGATTGACCTTTGTCCCAAGTGTTGTCTGAAAATTCCACTATGGAAATTCTTTTTGATAGGTGATGCTTCACTCTCCTAATGCTGTCTTTTTATGTGTATACAAAATTCACCCTTTTACTAGTAACAGATTATGTTCTGGCACCCAGTATACTGGAGTCTGTCAGAAACTGTATAATAAGCCAGCAGTTTTTATTACTTAACAATTTACTTTGAATTTCTAAGAAGTCTATTCTTTATTTTGCAAGGTTTTGACATTATATTGAACCTGAAAGTAAAAAATTACACATGTGATTGACATTAAATGAGAAATACCTACTTGAGTTTTTCAGTTGCTGGGGTATGTGCTATAATCTGAGTTTAAAGTTTATTATCTGCTAGTGTTGTCCACAGCAGTTTGACCTTATACACACTAAGATCTCCCTTTTTAGAGAGATTAATTTAATTAATATTCCTGTAATCTCGGCGGTCCCACCCCCAGCCGTCTGCATACAAAGGGAGAATCACACACAACATGCTCTTGGAAACCAAGCGCTTGTTTGGAATGATTTAATCTCCTCGCTGTTGTTTGCTTGTGGCTCTACTTTCCGGGTGAATGATTAGTGCTGCCGTCAGAAGGCTGTCTGTCCTCTACCCTGTAGGGTACCTGACGTCAGGAAAATTAAGTTAGACTGGAGCTGAGTTTAACACCTAGCCCAGTGAGCCTGATGATAAAGTCAAGAAAAGGCTCATTGTTGTAAATAAGACTGGTTTGGAATAGGGATGTTAGACCCATCCTAACTTATAAACAAGAGATTAATCTCTCCATGAATAGTTTTAGACAAAAAAGGTTTCAATGAAAGATTTCTGTCTGTCATATAAATGTTGCCCACTTCACTTTTTCACAGGCCGGGAACAGTTAAAGGGAACTTCTGTGTAGGCTATCACATAGTACGAAGTGGGCCAAACATTTTAGCTCATCCTTTAGTGAATTAGAGGATTTGGCTACTTCAGGTATATTTATATTAATTTCTTCTCTTCCCCTTAGTGTTTCTTAATCTTCTTGTAAAAGCTAATGTGAACAGCAGGGAAACGAGGGCCCACATGCATGAGTTTCTTTGCGCTTTTGCACCATTCCACGTACTTAATACAAATAAACAGTTAAAAACAATGGAATCCTGCGTCTGTTCTCGGCCTCTGTGCCTTGCCTGGTGAGCCGGCAGTTGGCACGAGGAAACAAAACTCCCTACATCACTGGTCACGGACGAGGCCTCAGTGACCCATGGTGCTGCTGAAGGCAAGACGGCATGTCAGCTGAGCGCGCCCTCCCTTGAACAAAATTCTGTGGAGGCAAATGTTAACTCATGGAAAAAACAAGTTTGCCGTTAGTCATGCACAGCACTTTGCGTTTTCCTAGACCTCGCTCGTGTCAGTGCTTTCCAGTCCTCTGTCCCCAGGATCCCTCCATACCCTGGAAAAGCTGTGTGCATTCAATAGAGTGAAGAGCTCAGAGGGTCTTGGTCTTCGCTGGGTAAGAGCTCCGACCCTCTGGACTCCTTTGTGTTCTAAATTGTTGCCTCTGTCTCTACCCTTCTTTGTGCCCTTCCCCAGGTGACTGGGGGATTGATCTGACTCATGTCCCACACCCAGTCTCTGCCCTCACTGCGTGAAAGAGAGGAGCTGGGTTAAGGAATGGGATGCTTCTGGGGAGAAATAGGGTTCAGGCCGTGCCACAGGTCCCCACAAAAACGGGGGAAATTAGCAATGCCAGTCAGACCCTTGCTCAGCTTTATCCAATTCAGACCCACTGGCAACTTCAGCAGCCACAGATGTGGCTCTCAGAAGGGACATTTGTTTCCCTCACTTTGGGGAACAGACAAAAACACAGGATTAGGTCTTCCTGCAACACAAAGAGTGACCTCAGGAGAGGCGATAAGCCCACTGCTGTCCCTATGGGGCTATGGGTCTCTCATCCAGAGGGGACAACGGTGCTCATTTTAGGTAAAACTGACTTAAATTCATAAGGAGTGACTATTCTCTCAAGCACTATTGATCATGATTGCTGTGATGAAATTCAGGATTTTGCTTGTTCTTGCAATATTTGGGTATTTGAACAAGGTGGTTATATTACACAATTGATTTTGTTGCCCTTTGATAAGCTTTCATTGTTAAATATAGTCTAGTCCAAAGAAAACAAGACTCTAATAAAAAGATTGTCCAAAGGGAATTTATTTTTCTCAAGAAGTATCTGGAGGAAGGCCCATGTGTTTCATAAAAATTAATGGAAAATATTTTGAAGGGCTTATAGGTGAAGTGCAGATATCTCTGTAATTACATTAAATCAGTGGCTAGACAGACCCACTCCTAACTTCTTGGTGGGACTGGACTCTCCACAGCATGTCTCACAAAGCGCCTCTCCTTTACTGAATAGAATGGGTTTCCAAAATGGGAAAGGGCTAGCAAAAACTTGCAAGGTACCACTGATCCCATTATCTCTGTTCATAAAAATGATAAACATGGCATTAGCTCTCAGCCACATTTTTAATAGTGGCCCTTGTTGCTTTTGCCTCTGAAATTGCTTTATCTGTACAATGGAAAACAGATACATCTATAAGGGTTGATCAATGGTTCCTTAAACAGGAGAAGCTTATTCAGTTACAGAAATTGATTACAGAAAAATTGAAGTTGAAACATTTGGAATCCTTGGTTAGCCCCTGGAATATGCTTTCTTTTGGTATTCTCCAAAAAACAGGTAAATGAAGATTATTACAAGATCTAAGGGCTATACATGCTAGCTTGTTACCCACTGGTGCACTACAACCAGGACTGCTTAATCCAACAGCAGTCGCAAGAGATTGGCTCTTAATAGTAACTGATTTAAAAGATTTTTAAAAATATTCCTTTTTATCTGGCATATAGGCAGTGCTTTGCCTTTTCTATACCTAGTATAAATTTTAAGGAACCAATGAGGCATTATCAGTGGGTAGTTCTACCACAAAGTATGAGAAGTAGCCCCACCTTTTATCAGCTTTTTTTGTAGTGCAAGCCATACAAGTCAGACAAACCTTCTCTTTTGGTTACAATATCCACTATATGGGTGATATCCTATTGGCTTCACACACTAGACCATAACTTCATGAACTTTTTGCTAAACAAAACAAGATATACCATCTTTTGGCCTCTGTCTTACCCCAGAGAAGGTTCAATTATCTAGCCCTTATTGTTATTTGGAAACACTAGTGACTACCTGAGGTGTGAGGTCACAACAATTTCAAATTTGAGCCAGTGGTTCAGAAGAAGGGGTCATGCAGTGCTAGGCAGCCGGTTTACAGAAGGTCGCGTGGGGAGGATTGTCTGGAAGCCCATCAAGACGCAGGTGCATCCTGGAGGCAGCCTGCTCAGTACCTGCACAGAATGCGATTAGCCCCTCATGGCCTCCCTCAAATCTTGCATTTCTCAGAACTGCAACCTGGTTTATGCCATCTGCTATGTTTTAGAACCAGACTGTCCACTCAAAACCTCATAGCTTCAGAGGTCGGGCTTTTGGATAGTGATTGGAACATGTGAGCACCGCACTCATCTCCCCTGATGAGTTCACTAGGTAAACATGCTGCTCTGACAGACTTGTGAGTAAATTGTGCGTTACTCAGAGTAGACAGAGACAATCCCATTTAGACCTACAAGAACTGGCTGTCCCGGCCGGCAGAGCTGTTTGCTCACTGCTGGGGTGAGAATGGGTGCCAGGTCTGAAGCGTTCGGCTCCTCCCTCCACGAAGCTGGTAGCATGGCCATTTTCACAGTGTTGGTTCTTCCTATCCACAAGCAAGGAATATCTTTCCATTTTCTGATATCCTCTTTGATCTCTTTTGTCAGAGTACTATAATTTTCAGTGTATATTTTACTTCTTTTGTTAGATTGATTCCTCAGTATTTCATCTTTTTAGATGCTACTGTGAAAGGTGTGGTTTCCCTAATTTCACTCTCAGTCTGTTTGTTATTTGTGTACAGGAATACTATGGATTTTTGAGTGTTAACTTTGTATCCAGCTATGCTACTGAGTTTGGTTATTAAATCCAGGAGCCTTTTGGTGGAGTTTTTGGGGTCTTCTATGTAGAGTATCGTATCTTCCTGTGAATAATGACAATTTCACTTCTTCCTTTCCTATCCTTATTCCCTTTATTTCTCTCTCTTGTCTAATTGCTCTGGTTAATATTTCCAGAACTATATTGAATAAGAGGGGTGACAGTGGACATTCTTGTCTTGTCCCTGACTTTAAAGTGAAAGCTTTCAATTTTTGACTATTTAGTATGATGTTAGCTGTTGGTTTATCATAGACGGCTTTGATCAGCTTGAGGTAAAGGCCATCTATTCCTATTTTCTGTAGGGTTTTCATCATGAATGAGTGCTGGACTTTGTCGAAGTCTTCTTCTGCATTGATGGAGATGATCATGTGACTTTTGTTCTTGGCTCTATTGACATGGTGTATTATATTAACTGATTTGTGTATATTGAACCGTCCCTGCATTCCTGGTATGAATCCCACTTTGTCCTGGTGTATAATCTTGATGACTTGTTGTATTCTGTTTGCTAGTATTTTATTGAGAATTTTTGCATCTATATTCATTAGGGAGGGGCTGGGGATTTAGCTCAGTGGCACAGTGCCTACCTGGCAAGTGTGAGATCATGAGTTCAATTCCTAGTACTGGGAAAAAACCATGCTATATTCACTAGGGAGATTGGTCTGTAGTTTTCTTTCTTGGTTGGGTCTTTCTCTGGTTTTGGCATTAGAATAATACTTGCATCCAGGAATGAGTTGGGGAGAATTCCTTTTAATTTCATTAAAGAGTTTGAAAAGAATTGGTGTTAAATCTTCCCTAAATTGCTTGTAGAATTTAGGTGTGAATCCATCAGGACCTGGGCTTTTCTTCATTGGCAAGTTTTGAATTACATTCTCAATTTCACTGGGTGATATTGAGTTATTCAAGTATTTGTGTGTGTGCATATATATATATATATATAGTGCATATATATATATATATGCACACACACAAACACAAGATAGCTAAGATAATTGTACTACTAATTTTTATTGTTTGCTTTATTGAAAGGAACAGTTGATATTTAATTGTTTGATCATTCTTACATGCCTATATTTGTTTTTCTGAGTAACCGATTTGAAGGTAACAATATGTAATACAACCATTGTTAATTTCATACCACCTTGTCTGAAATTCTGTATTTTTTTGTTTTTATGTTGTTTCATTTATGTCTGTGTGTTTGTTAATATGTTTAGGTTCTTTTATCTTTAAAGTAAAAAATCTAATTCAAACAAAAAAAGAAGAATGTATTTACATACAAGGATAACTGAGGTAAGTGTATTGCTGATATCTATTGGTTTATTGAAATGAACAGTTAATGCTTAAATTTTTTTTCTCTTGACCAATTTTGCATGCTTATATATGGTAACTGGAAAAAGCTAATTTTAAGACAACAATATGCAATATAACAACTATTGCTAAAGTCCTGCTACTTTGTTTAATGAAGCTCTATATCATTTCTGTTTTTCATTAATTGTTATTGTCTTTAATTATTTGATCAATCTTGCATTCTTACATCTGGCAATCTGAGCAACTTAATTGAAGACATCAATATGTAATATAACAACATTATTAATTCTTATCATCTTGTCTTGAAATTCTGTATTGTTTTTATTGTTTTTGTATTGTTTTGTTTTTGTCTTCATTGTTGTTATTTTATTATTTTTCTCTTTAAAATAAAATTAATTTTACTGATATATTTAATATATACATAATGATCATATTCATCATAGTGAATTTGTATCTGTACATGATATGTCTCTATTGTTCTTTTTTTCCCCATTTCCCTCCCCTCCCTTAAACCCCCTCTTCCTCTCATTTTCAAAAGCTTTGTTTCCATTTTTTCTTATTTTCTCTTTTTTGTTTTCCCATCTTTTACCCCTGCCCCTCCCTAATTTCTCTACTCATTTGAATGTTTTCTTTCTATTTCACAATATCTATCATACATTTTGGTTTTTATTTACACACTTATTTTTTGTTTTAAGTTATGGCCTAAAATAATATGCATATGATATTTAAGGGCAAAAATATTGGATTATACAACCGAAAGCATAAATAGTAGAAGCAAGTGCACGGCTATCTTAATGATAAAGCACCATGTTAGCAGGATAATGAAAAAGCTCTACAGATAATGGAATAAAGAACACAAATGTACAATGACAAGAACATATGCTTTAAAAATTAAGGAGATTAAATAAGCACACGTATAGAGCCAAAAATTTGGTCAAGTTTGTTTCAACAAATAACTGTTTCCTTATAAAACACAAAGTATATGAAAGCTACACAGCTGAAACTATTTTTGTATTAACACCAATTTTAAAATCCAGATGTAAATATGAGAAAGCTATTTCATGTAATATTTATTTGTATGCATAATATATGAAAACAGAATACAAACATTTAGATGTATGTCTCACATTACAAAAAGCTGTTTAAGGGGCTGGGGATTTAGCTCAGCGGCAAAGCGCCTGCCTGGCAAGCACAAGGTCGTGAGTTCGGTTCCCGGTACCGGAGAAAAACAAAAACAAA